ACTCGGTCAAAAACCCAATTCAAATACACCCCAAATTAATAAATTAATAGTGTATTTTGGATAAGGGCATGTTAAATTAATTGTTGTATCATAGTAAATAATATATTATATTATCATTATACACTAATGAGTCAAGTGCAATTATATTTTATTAATTATTCTATTACAATAGTTATTACTAAAATCAAATGATTATAATTTACACTAAAATGCTATATGCAAGTTACATAATCATCAAAAACTATATTGTTTTTTTTTTTCTTATTTATTATAAAAGTAATATTTTTTTAATCATGTAATTAGTTTAATGGAATGAAAAAAAAAACCCTTAAACAACTAATATAATAATACGAATAATATTAATAAATACTATTGTTCATTATTTTTCTAGGTAATTAATTGAGTTGATTCCTCAAAGTAAGAAAAAATATGTTATGTGTTACATTTTATGCAATCAATATAAAGATTCATATGTTGTCAAATAACTTTTATTGAACCGTTCATTTACTAATAATAAAATTTTAAAATATGATATATACATTATATATTTTATAATTTTAATATTATATGTATACATATTTTATAATATCTTTACAATTTATATTTATGCATTTGCCATAATCAACTACTAGTTATACGTAATTATGGAAATAAAATATGATTAATAGAAATGTTGGATAAAGTGAACTATACAATAATGATTCATAAAAAAAAAAAAATATATATATATGTAATTATGTAGTCAGAAATTTATATGTAATTATGGAAATAAAATATAATTGATTGAAATGTTTGGATAAAGTTAGTGACTCATGTGAAAATTATATGTAATCATGTAACCATAAGCCTATATGACTATACACATATATTGGCAAAAATTTATAATAATTGTTTTGTTATCATGATTCATATAGTGTGTATTGATAAAAATTTCTGATAAACATAATAATAATAATAATAATAATAATAATAATAATAATAATAATAATAACAATGATAATAATAATAATAGCTCGATATTTTTCTAGGTAATTACTTTCCATGATCCCTGAAAGTAACCAAAATTATATTATTTATTACATTTTATGCATTCAATATATAAATTTATGTGTATTTAAATAATTTTTATTTAATTGTTCATTTACTAATAATTAAATTTAAAAAATTTGTTATATACATTTTATATTTATAATTTTAAAATTATATATCCCCATAAATTATAATACTTATTTGTAAATTTACAGAGGATCAACTACTAGTCTATATATATATAATTACTAGCTGATGCATTTAATAAAACATTTAATAAAACCTATTTTCATTTCCCTTTAAAAGGAGTTACATTTTTTTTAATTAGATACTCACTAATCTGCTAAAACCGTGACACCTTATTCTATATATTTTTATTATTTATTTTTTAGATCAATTACTAAATTGATCAGATGTGTAATGACCAATGTTGGAACTTAAAGTTGATTGTCACATTCAGAGCTGTAACCGCTACATTTGGTTGCATTGTTGGAAGAAAAATATGATTGACACGTTTTTTTTTCTAAAAATCAGAAATGCCAATATTTTTTTTATTTATGTTAATTTTTTTAATATATGCCACAAATATATAAATTATTTTATTCATGTTACTAATGTAAACGTTGTATGATTAAAATAAAATTTAAATCTCAATTAATTTTGATGATAAAAATAACTTAAGAAAAAGTGATAATTTTTATATGATAGAAGTACATGTCTAATTAATAAATAAAAACAAAACGTATTTTAGATTTATGCAAATGCCGTGGATCAAATACTAGTTAAATGTAATTACGTAAACATAACTAATATGTAATTATGGAAATAAAATTTGATTAATAGAAATATATATATATATATATATATATATATATATATAATTGTTAGCATATCATCTATATATATATAATTATTGGTTCATGGGCATTTAATAAAACCTATTAAATTATGCAATATAATTTTTTCCCTCAAAAAATCGTTACTTTTTATTTATTTAACCTCTCATTTAATTATTAAATAATCAACACACTAATCACTTCAAAATTACAAAAATCATTTTAAATTTTTGATATACTTACCGTTGATCATATAATGTGTTGACTATTTAACGTGATTAGACGTTATTGTTGTGGTTATATGTAAATTAACTTCTTTTGGAAAATAAAAAACGTATTTGAAATTCATAAAAAAATAATAAATAATTCACAAAAGAAAAGAGACAATACAAAATATACATTACATCCAATATGATAAACACAATTTAAAAAAATAAATATTTCAACTCATTTAATTGTAAATTTGATAAAAATCATTAACCATTATATGCATACAAATAACTCACAATACTTTATTTATATATATGTGTAATTGGTCGAATATTAGTTTAATTAAACCTCATAACTTTTCCGCAAAAAACCGTCACAATTCAATTTTATCATCCATATCTCCCTATATATATATAATTACTAACAAAAAATTTAATAAAACTATTTCTCGTTCACTGTCTTTTTTTCCGTTACAATCCAATGTTATTATTATTAATATTATTATTATTATTATTATTATTATTATTATTATTATATATAATTCTATGTTATCTAATTGATACAAATTCTTATTATTTTCCGTCTTATTTTTCCAATTAATGTAAAAGGAAACTGTAACATTTGGCGTTCTAATATTTAATTAATTAGTATGAATGCCATAACTAAACAATGTTTGTTATAACAACAATAAAAATAATTATAATATTTTTCTAACTTATTAATTGGATAGTCTCTCTAAATTAAAAATTACATTATCCATTACATTTTATGTAATCATCAATACAATAGTTCATGTGTAATTAAAATAATTTATGTTTATATTGTACATTTACATATAGTCAACATTTTAAACTGTAACATACATAATGTCTAATTAAAAATTTAAATACTATAGACATACATATAATATATAGCTTTTGTTTGTCTCTGTGCAAGTGCACATAATTAAATACTAAGATCGGATAAAGTTAACTATACACTTATGATTCATAAGAAAAATATATGTAATTATGTAGCCAGAAAATTGATATGTAATTGTGGAAATAAAATATAAATAATTGAAATGTTTGGATAAAGTTAGTAACTCATGTGAAAATTATATGTAATCATGTAACCATAAGCCTATATGATTATATACATACATATATATAATTGTTGGAAAAAAATTTATGTAATCGTTTTTGTTTTCCGCTTTTTTCCGTTATTAAATTTATAAAATAAGTATACTTTTATTTATTTTATTTAATTATTACATAATAGCTACTGTTAACTATTCATAAAGCTGAATTAAATGATATATATTCTATAACTTTTTTTCCAAGTTATTTATTTGGAATTATTTTATTATTATAATTTTTTAATTATTTTTATGACATTATCAAACCCTTAAAATTTCGTACACAATTGTTATAATAATAATTTTGATATTATTTTATCTAATCAATTGGTCATAGCCACCTAATATTGAAAAAATATATTAGTGTCAATAAAATGACTAATATTGTAAGTTAAAAAAAATTATATTTATATAGTTCATTTTATCAATTATAAAATTTATAAAAATTTGTTATGTTCTTTATTGTTCATCTTTATAAAATTTACCACCATCAATAAATACATCTCGATAACTATTTACTATGTGCATAGAATCGAATAGTATTTTATATGTAATTATTTAAATAAATAAAATGTGGTTAATTGAAATGTTTGGAAAGAGTTAGGGCATGCTTGTTTATGGATTTTTTCAATCCAATTTTTTCAACTCAAATATTTAACTCAACTTTAACTCAACCCCACTATCTTTAATATTATTCATACAATTAAATAATAAAAACCAATTATTCTTACATATCACATCAACTTTAATTCACTATTCATCTACTCACATAATTTTAACTACCAATCATTTCCAATCATTTATCTCCTATTTTATATCAAATCAACTTTAATTATTTTTATTTTAAATATTATTTTAATATATTTTTTAAATTCCACTAACAATTAACCACATTATTTTTTCAACTTTAACTATAGTTAACAAAATGAAATATTTTAGTTGAAAAAATCCATAAACAAGCGCCCCCTTAAATGTCCAGTATCATAATAAAAAAAATATTATTCTTTCTATTTATTAACAACATATACATAATCCACAAATAAATCATGAAAAAAAAATAAAAATTAAATGTACCTATTGTAATAAAATCTGATGAATTTGAAATGTTTACAAATTTTATGGCTGATCATTAATAATCAAATTATAAGAATTTTTCACATTCTATTATCTTAGACATTATTACAAGATAAGAGTTTGCCACATTGTATTAACTCATATATGAAATTAAACTACTTTTACCCAATTCATATTATAGGAATTTAGAAATTGAACAAGATTTACTAATAAGAAAGTTTATCTATTATCAAGGGAGATGCTACAGTCCCGTTATGGAACTATTTCGTCGGAGTTTGCAACCGTTAGATCAACTATTCGCGACGGTTACATGATGATCTAGCGGTTATAAACCCGGCGAAGTGGTAACTATCACGACGATTACATGATGATCTAGCGGTTATAAACCCGGCGAAGTGGTAACTATCACGACGATTACATGATGATCTAACGGTTACAAACTGTAACATTTCCCAGTCCACAATCCCAATGTTAATGACACAAAATCCAACCATTTAATATTCATAATCTTTAATTATCCGAAATTATGTACTTATTTCCCATTTGTTGAGAATTATCCAAAAACCTCTATAAATAACCATTAGAACCCCCCACAAAGAGGACTCACTCACATTCATTCACTCTTCATGCCATTGCTCTCCCAAACAAACTCAAACAAACACAAATAATTTCTTTTTCATCTCTCCCTCAAAATTATCTTTCATTTTTTCTTTTTTCTGCAAAACACATTTTACATGGCGGAGCAAAACGATGTCGTCTCGAAAAAGCAGCCAAAGCGTAACATGTATGCTCTGCTGATCTCTATCATGGCTTCAATGACGTCAATCCTCCTAGGATATGGTAATGTTTTTTATTTTATTTTTTATTTTATTTTATCATGTTTAGTGCTTGCTATTTATTTAATTTTATTTTAATTTATTCTGATTTTATTTTTAAATAAATAAAATAATAATATATTATTAGATACTGGTGTTATGAGCGGTGCCACGCTGTACATAAAGCGCGATCTAAAGGTCTCGGACGAGCAAATCGAGATACTCGTGGGGACAATCAACATCTACTCGTTGCTCGGGTCAGCCATGGCCGGAAAAACCTCCGATTGGATGGGCCGCCGGTTCACAATCGTGGTGGCGTCGGTAGTTTTTTTTGCCGGAGCCGCCATTATGGGGTTTTCGAATAGCTATGGTGTGCTGATGGCGGGCCGGTTCGTGGCCGGGCTTGGGGTCGGGTACGCGCTCATGATTGCACCGGTTTATGCGGCTGAGGTGGCGCCGGCGTCGTCCCGTGGCTTCTTGACTTCCTTCCCGGAGGTCTTCATCAATTTCGGTAATTTAGTTTTTTTTTTTTAATTTAATTATACTCTTATTTTTTTTTTTTTAAATTTATTGTGGATTTTTTTAATGGGATTATAATCCAAAGTAGGTTACGGTTGAGATCCGATTTTTTATCCAGGGGATCTTGGACTGGTTTATTGCTCTCTCTTTCTAATATCTAAAAAAATTAAGAATTTAAAGGGATTAGTTAATTTTTAATATATAACAACATTGAGAATTTTAAGGGATTAGTTAACTTATCCATATATAAGCTTGAATCTCCACTCTTGTGAAGTTATCTTTATTTTTTTTTTAAAAAAAAAAAATAGTGACTTATTTTTAGAATTTGTAATAAAAAGAATATTGAGAATAATATAATTCTGGTATATAGAAGAATATTTAGCATTACATTGACCAGTTTTTGATAAAATTATTAGAACAAACAATTTGCAAAACATGTACATAACCTTAACATAATATGATAATTCCCAATTATATTGTCACATTTATTTCTTTTTCGTACAAACATTAACTCCCACAAATCAAATTTTGTTTCTTTTCTGTTGTACTTTATTGAGTTCGATTTCATTCTTCGATGGTTCTTCCACTTGATGTCAGTACATATGTCATTCCTTAAACTGTTATAACATGTTATTCCTCATATACTCTTGCTCTTGATAGGTGTTCTTTTGGGGTACTTGTCGAACGTCGCGTTCGCCAAGCTTCCCTTGAAATTAGGCTGGCGCATTATGCTGGGCATTGGCGCAATCCCTCCAATCTTCATTGGCCTCGCCGTTATCATCATGCCTGAGTCCCCCCGTTGGCTCGTCATGCAGGGTCGATTGGGCGACGCCAAACGGGTCCTCGAGCGCACGTCTGATTCCCTCGAGGAAGCTCATTTGCGTCTAGAAGACATCAAGGAGGCAGCCGGCTTGCCCAAGGACATCGAAGGCGAAACCGTCCAAGTCCCCAAACGCACGGGCCAGAAGGGCAAAAACGTGTGGAAGCAATTGTTCGTCCACCCGACCCGACCCGTGCTCCACATCACCATTGCGGCCCTCGGCCTTCAGTTTTTCCAGCAGGCGAGCGGAATCGACGCAGTCGTGATGTACAGCCCGAGGATCTACGAGAAGGCGGGAATCACGAGCGACGACAAGAAGCTCCTGGCGACGATAGCAGTCGGTGTTTGCAAGACGGTCTTCATCCTAATCACCACCTTCATGGTCGACAAAATCGGGCGCCGAGTGCTCCTCCTCACGAGCTGCGGGGGACTGTTTATGTCGATGGCGACCCTTGCGACTGGCCTAACTTGTATCGAGCGCTTCGGAGCGGAGAAGCTCGGGTGGGTTGTGGTCGTGTGCGTGCTGATGACGTACTCGTCGGTGGCCTTTTTCTCGATGGGGATGGGCCCGATCGCGTGGGTCTACAGCTCGGAGGTTTTCCCGCTGCAGCTCAGGGCACAGGGGTGCGGGTTGGGTGTGGCGATCAACCGGGCGACGAGCGGGGTGATACTAATGACGTTTTTGTCCCTCTACAAGGCGATCACGATTGGTGGGGCGTTCTTTTTGTTTAGCGGGATAGCGGCGGTTACGTGGTTGTTTTTCTTCACGCTATTGCCGGAGACGAGGGGGAGGAGCTTGGAGGACATGGAGGCATTGTTCGGCACGTTTTTCCGGTGGAGGACTACGATGAAGGAGCTTAAGGAGAAGGAAGAAGGGGAGAAGATTTCCCCTGCATAAGAAGGAGTATCAAAAGCATGCTATCAGAACTTATTTCTCTTTTCCTTTTTTTTTTTTTTTTCTCTTTTGATCTATGGGGTTTGCTACTATCACAAACTATACTTTCACCCATATGTTGTTATGAAATTGAAGATTATATAAGTAGACTTGTTTTATGGTTATTATGTGTGTGTTTCATTGTTCAAGATTTCTGTGAACTAATTAGTGGTTGGTATTGGAATTTCTGGCTTGTATTTTTACAATATATTATTATGAGTTCCAAAATCAAAAGCTAACTGACAGGGAATTGGGCCACACATTGTCTGACCTGGGCCATCACTGGACCAAGCACAACTTTTGATTCTAAGACATTATATGGGCTTGGGCTCAGAACAATCGAAGTTGCTAGCTCTCGTCCTTCTGGTCGAAAAACAATGGTGAATGATAAGGACGTGTAGGTGCACTATTTCGTGGTGGGGTTGTAATTCTCCATTTGTAGGTCAATGATAAGGAACTTTTTAAAGTGTGCTCCAAGCATCTAATTCATGTTTCACTCTAAATATAATAATGATATTATAATAAATATGTGCCCATTATTCAATTAAATAAAGTATGAGTTGGAAATTAATTTTGAAATACAAAAATTATTATCCCGATTAGTTATGATTCAACGTTTTTGTAGACTTCAAAATTTATTTCCTCTATTGGTCATATTATTTATTGTGATATATATAGTACATATAGTCCTAAATGAAAGCCGACAAACGTTCTTGAAAGAGAGTTTTGCCGCTCTTGTGGTCTTACCCGGCTCGATTCCGTATTAGTCGGTTCCCCTGTGGATCCAAAAACTGGAAGGTCCCTGTACCAAAAAAAAAAAACTAAAAAAAAAAAATTGTAGCAACGTGTTTTTACATTTTTTGGTATAATCTAGTTATCAAACCAAGTTAAAATTGATAACATCTAAGTTCAAATCTACTTAATTTCAATTGTTTAAATGTCTTTGTCATTAACATATGAGCATCTCATCATCTTTTTTTAACTACGTGTGTTAATCTTTAAATAATCGGAATCTAATTCGTGTACAATTTCATAAAAACAACACATGTATGAGTATGACATTAAAAAATTAGTATTTAAGTTAGAACTTTAAACATGATAATGATAATGTAGGTTCACTAATTATGCGACATGTGTCCTGAATAAATAATCACATTAGAGACAATAGTAAAAGGACATCAGAAGCACGCTTTGAGGTCCCAATTATTCGTATTCTCCTTTTTACCAAACCCTAAAATTGTTTTTTTTTTTAATTAAAAGAATTTTGTAGTAATGGTGATCATTTTCGAATTTATTTATCACGAAACGAATTTTCTGAAATGTGAGGCAATAAAACTTGAAACGAAGTCAATGGAATCAAGTGTTAGTAGTCGAATATCAGACGTAATCGTAATTTGTTTACTATATATATAAAATATATATATGATAATTTTGTTTTGAAGTTTTGTTTTGTAATTGATTATGAGCCAAAATATGAAATGTGTTCTATGTCAAATTTAAACATTATAAGCTAACTTATATTTGATTGGTTTATCTCATAAGGTGTTGGTTTGCTGGTTTGTTAATAGAAATTTCTACCGTATATTTCAATGGTAAAACTTACGTTGGAATGAATCCAACGAAAATTCTAACGAATATATTACATTGAAATTATATTAAAATATATTTTCGTTGAAATTTGAATTTTATCATTTTCTTGTAGCGTGACTTGCAATCGTGATCACAGTATTACATGTCATTAATGTCTCACATTAGTGAATCACAACAAAAATGTCAATAGAAAACTTATTTTAATGAAATATTTTTGTTCGAATTTTTGTTGGAATCTATTAGAAAATTTTAATAGAAATAGTAGCAATAAAATATCAATTGAAATCATATTGAAATATATTTCCGTTGAAATTTTCTACTGAAATTTCATCATTTTCTTATAGCGTCACTTGCAATGGTGATCACAATATTACATGTCATTAATGTCTAACATTAGCGAATCACAACGTATACAATTGATTTAACCCAATAGGCATGGATAATTTTAAACCGTGGAATCAAATAATATTACAAAACATAAAAGTTGCAAATGTAATCAATAAACCCAACTCTACATATATCATTAGGAAAAAAAAAAAAAAAAA